GCTTCTGAATCACTCGGAAATCAATGTCGACTTTTACACCTTAAATGTGCTTACAATTGGAAATTTCATTTCTAAACCATGCAAGAAACATGCATTGATTTTTCCTCGTGTCCTGTCTTTAGACTAAAAAATCTGGTTGTCAAACCACCCACACTAACTTTATTCATTTTTGAACTTTAATTGGTCCAACAATTCGAATTATTTCTGATCCCCCCGAAAATCACTATCATTGGCTTTTGGTCATATGATAGAATGACGAGATCTTAGGATTATGGATAGTTTTTTAGAGCTTCTAGATGATAATATAGTTGGGTCATGCTTCAAACATGATGGAAGAAACATAAGTCGAGGGTTGATTTTTAAAGAGTGTAATTGTTAGATCTCTATGGTTGCTGAAGTGGGCAAAAGTCAGATTAATTAAGGATAACTAATTTAGTAACATGATCAAATTGGGTCCTACATAAATTCAAACAAATGTTCACCTTTTTTGATTGTATCCCAACCAATCAGAGATTGTGACCATTTTCAAGTTCTCAAGTAATCTTATTGGTCAAAATCTCTGATAATTTTTGCTAAGGGTGTATTCTCGCTAATTTACAAGGAACAAAACAGCCAAGCTACATTTTTGAACTGCTCAAACATTAATTTGAATTAGTTTTCATTCAAACGCTTTCTCTAGAAAAATGCAGGATCGCTATAAATTCTTAATAAAGGTTCTGATGACTGACACTGAAATAGTAAGGTTTCAACCAAAGTTCTAAGATTGAACTTCGATAACTTCTTATAATCAATGTTTTCCATAGCTCATGCATTACTCTTCAATCAATTCCGAGCTGGCCACTTTCCTCCAACCACAACAAAGACTTCAGAGTTGAAGAGTCTTCACAGCTACTTGACTTAATACGCGCCCGAGCACTCAATTCCTTATGTAAATTTCAATGTCACAACGCCATCGCGTGTGCCATTACAGTAGCGAAAATTGAGGTTTATAAGGAGAGAGACCTCTCACGATTGACGCAAAGGGTAATTTTATGAGAAGAATTATTCTTCAATGAAGAAAACTTTTTTGATGAAAAATTTTGAATTGTACCGTAAGTAAGGTGAGGAGGAATTGATGGAGAAATTACCGTACGGCAACAACATTACGACTCCTTTTTAGTGACCAATTTGAAGTTGAACAATAGCCTTGTCACTGTGATCGAAGGCAACATCGCTGACATTATTCGTGGCATGCCCAATTACGCTTCGAAAGGATTTACGATTGAAGGAAATGTGGGTTTAACGATTCTTCACTGAATTTTCGCCTCTCATTGCGTTTTCTTCGAATTACGGTAACATCAGTAGGGTCAGCCAAACCGGTTATAGTAAAATAGGGGATTATTCCAGCGATTAGTGGGAGAAAGATTGACGTGTGAATGCTACAACACTGGTTTTCTCATGATTTTGATGGTTTTGCTAGCATTTTGGATGGAAATAACTCAGTATATTGGCAGATATGTAGAACAAAAAACCTTTGCTTACTAGTGAATCTTTTTCATTCATTCATTCCTTTATCTATTCAGCAATTTTTA